ATTTTTTCGGTATAACTTTGGCAAATATTGCTCGATCGGTACCAACCAAATTGAAGGCGAGATTACTGTAAGTTATTTATGATAATAATATGATGAAAAATAACAACAAAAATGTTGAACACAAAAAAAAATGCATCTAATTTTTTCGGTATAACTTTGACAAATATTGCTCGATCGGTACCAACCAAATTGAAGGCGAGATTACTGTAAGTTATTTATGATAATAATATGATGAAAAATAACAACAAAAATGTTGAACACAAAAAAAAATAATAATTTATTACAGGCTTGTTGTTGACCTCATAATACAATATATTTACCAATATATAGATACACCAAGTGATTTGAGACAAATTAAATTTTCGATCTACCCTAGTGTATTTGTAAAATATACTAATAATTAAATCTGTAGCTAAAAATATCCAGCGCTAACCGCAAAAAAGGTGTAAGCGATTTTTTTTTTCAAATTTTCTTTCTGCACCAAAAATAAAATTTTGACAAAAATGTCGCTTACGATTTTCTGGCGGTTAGCGAGCCATTGTGAATTTGGTTTCAGTACAGGCTTAAGAATACAAGTGAAACGTCCTGCTGATTTCAAAACGGAGAGTTTTGCTTATTATGCTGATGTTATTGTACGTAAAAGAAAGAGTGAGAACCGATTGTTATGAAGAATATCAATACCCAACAGATATACCAGGTTTTATAAACTGTTGTATAATTATATAGATAAGTGTTGCCCTACACAGTTATTCATTATAGGAAAGTAGTTCACTGAAGTATGTTAACTTACTTGCAGGGTTTGATATTTTTTGCTTTTATTCAAATGCACTCATTTCTACATTCTATTACAACTAAAAAAAAAAAATGTGTTATTTTTTCGTTATATTTTATATATATTTTTTTGTGTGTTGAAATTTGTTATTCTGGCAGAATACTTCTCAAATCGTTTTGTATTGGTATTGATCAAACAAATGTGACCAGAATAGCTTTGAACGGCACGAACAACATGCAATCACAAGTTGCCGCGCGCCATTAAAGTATGTAGTATGCTACCTACAACGATATTCATGCTTCTTGATTGACTTTCAAGTGAATTGTGGCATTTGGCAAACAGTACTACTTCCATTTAGACTATCTCACTAAATACGTACGTACTTCATTTTATGATAGATTTATATGCACATGCATACGAATTTAGAATTGTAATTGTAGGTTGTTAAAATATATTCTAGGAGCGTATGATTTTATACTCTTTAACTTTGCATCCTTGAGGATTCCATTTCTTTTTTTATAGGAACTTAATTTTGTTAAAATTATGCAAAATCTTTAGCTGTGATTCCAAAATGTATTGCATAGTTAATTGCATCAACTGCGTATACATATATGTACACATGTGACCTAGGAATGGAATCCTAACGGGTCTACCCCAAACAGAAGCTTCGATAAAGTAATTATCGTTATGGCTTCGAGCTACAGAAGAATCATATATTATTCCTTCTTTACTTGCCGAAACTCATAAAATAGTCCCGGAAATCATTTTAAATTTTAATAGAGACATACTATTGGCACAAATTTATTTTCAGCAAATATCACGGCAATGTAAAAAGTCAATCAAATTTTTACTACTACCGATAACAAAAACTAGAAGTCATTGCTATTTAGCACTCAATCGGATATCAAATGAAAAGTTATTGCAACGAAATTTCATTGCCTACACACGCTTAGGATGAAAACTTACATACTTATATGTATACGAGTACATACCCTGCAGGACAGTTTGCGAGTTAAAGTATAACTTTGACTATTTCGAAACACTTGCAATTTGAGATACATATCTAGTTTGCAGTGGAAAGTTTCTGACACAATATTTGCAGTATGTTTCGCTAGGCTACACAAGACTTTAACGGCGATCGCAGCAGCAGCGCTAGCGAAGCTACAATTTTGTGTTTCATAAATTTTCAATTTTCAAATCGGTTCGAATGCAAACTAAGTAGTCCACCACTGAAAAGTAATGCAGTAATTCGCTCCTGGAATACTGCATTGGTAAATTCACAAGTTGTTTGCATTGAAAACAGAATCCTGTCGGGGCTCACATTCTATACAGTCGGATTTCTCTACAGGGGATGCGTGTATTAGTGCAATTGTGTACGTAAAGTGACGCATGCAATAAACGTAATCTGGCAAATAGATTGAAAATTTGCCACAAATAGAACAGAATGACAGGTCTACAATTTTGAATAATAAGAAATGCATGCATATGTATGTATGTACATTAAGGTGCCACACCAAAAAAACAAAAGTTGCAGGTTTTCCAACGGAGTTTTATCATTTAGTACCAGGTTGACCGAGCTTTGCCCGGATTGCATATACTTTTTAAAGTTTTCAAGATTTGGATGGCTTTAAAAAAATATTTTGGAAAAAAATGGATTTCGATATCTATTAAGTGAATTCCTTATTCTAAAATTTAGGTGGCAACCCTATTCCGAAATAGGAGGGAATAAATGGTACATATCTTGAGCGCATATATACTGTGTATACATAAAAAAATTTTGATTGAAATTAACAAGATAAAATTTTGTATTACATAGAAGCGTGGCAACCCTGATGGGAAACATTTTCTGACCAAAGTTCTCAACAATACCTTTAATTTGATATCCATATTGCGATGGTTTAGATAAATTGTGTAGAATTGAAAACAAGTGGCAACCTTATACTATTATTCTAAGGGATAAGATTTTGTATATAAGAAAAGCATTATTTAAGGACCTTCTCTTGATACACATAAATAGTAATATTAAACCCTTTTTTTAACAAAAAATTAAATAAATATGCGATTAAAAATACGTTGCAACCCTATTAAAAATATTTTTGAATTAGAGATCTTTAAAATACCTTCAATTTGATACCCATATTATGATACTTTAATTGATTTGTAACTAATTTCGAATGGGTGGCAACCTTATACGAGTCTCGCGATAATGTTTATTCAAATAACTTTAAAATCGAAAACATTATCTGTGTACAAAATTTCATAAAAATCGATAGAGCCGCTTCCAAGAACCCTATGGTCGTTTAATGTAATAAGATTATATTTTAAGAATTACGCCAAAACCTTCCGGGAAAATATTAAGATTTACGTGAGCTAAACGAATTTGAAAATACCTTTAAAAATCTCCATATTTTCATTCCTAAGATGAAATTAAAACAAATTATGCAAACCTTTTAAACTTAAACTCTTCTATCATCTGAAGTGATTTAAAAAAAAAAAAATCTTTTTAATTTTTTAAGCGATATTTTTTTTATGTATTTTCAAATCGCTCCAGGTCCCGTAAATCATAATATGTAAATAATATATAAGATTTTACAATTCGGATGGATTAACAGTTTAACAATTTTCTTGTATGGAGAGTGATGCATCCTAATGTACTTACTTATTTAGCTATAGTGGAGGAGTCGGTAAAATGTATATACATATTTTTGTATGTATGTGGAAATCTAATTTTCATGAAAATTCAATTATTGACACTGTACGCCTAGCAAAATATACGCACATATCCATAGTTAACTGTGTACGTTGGGTAAAACAACTTTAGAAATCTTAGTTTTAAATGGAAAAAATCGAATTTTTGTTGAAAAAATTTCTATTTTATTGAAGTTTTACTAAAATGGCTTCTTTGAATACAACAATTTTAAGTCTGAAGTTGAAAGACTGCATGAAAACCAGACGATTTGTTGTTTAATGGAAAAAATTACAGGACTGAAGATGGGCTGTTTTGTCAAATGTTCACGGTCTTGTACTCATATTTATGTATGTTCAAACAAGAATACAGTTATAAAATAATGCATACACATTTGTGGATATGTCTATCAAAATATACATATCTACCAGAAGCCCACTTAGCTAAGTGCAAACGCCATACAACTGATATAAATGTTGAAACGAAACGAATGAATACATAAAAGTAATTATGCACGCACATACTACATACATCTGTTGACTTGAATGGATCAGGTTTTGAAAAAAAAGAAACGAAAAAAAATTACCAAAAAATAGCAACTGATTGCTACTACGCCGTCGTATTTTATTTTGAATGGCTGCCGACATTAATCATTTCAAATGGGTTATTTTCGGCAACAGAAAGAAAACGAAAGCGAAACAAATATTCGCTAAAAAATTATGATAAATGACTCTGAATGTGCTCAAATGCTTGGAAATTCCTACTAAAAATATAAACATTTTGAAATGATAGCATTAAGCACAGTGTAAAAAATAATTGTTTATTTCACGAAAAAACAATTAATGAAATGTTCAGATCAATTAGTAATTAAATAATCAAAGACCACCATGATTTGAAATGAAAAGTAATGTAAGTGTGATACGCGTCATGGAGGCAAAATATTACTGCTAATACAGAGAGCATAAATATGCATTTTTGGGTCATATGCATTGATACAATTTTCCAAGATTTCTGAAGGACTCTAAGAATTTCGAAGAGAAGGTAATAATAGTTAACCCAATCCTGCTACGTTTTCCCATCCCTATTATACATAAACATATTCATATATCTGATCCATTTAAACCAATTTTAGTTTAAATTTCTTCCAAAACTTTTTACTTGCTGATGTTATATTGGAGCCACATAATTGTTTTTTATAGGCAACGTTTTTCGGCAGATCGATCCAATCAACTACTCCCTAAAGTCTCCGATCCATCAGCCGCTACCGGCAACATCCATTGCGTCTCTCATTTGAGTAGACAGCGGGTGCGTCTTCTATGAAAAAGTAACACTTAGGGCCAATTTCAGATGAAAATTTAAACAGCATTTCAGCTTAATTTTGGATTTTTATTTAAATGCCATTTAGCTTTTGTTGGGTTTTAGATCAACTTTGTTTCAATATGCCAAACAAGTGGCAACGCTTTTGCTTGTTTCTAGGTTATGTGTAAAAAATTATGTACTTGAACAGCAACATTTTCGTGTTCAATTCGCTTTCCGAATTCTTTAATACGAAACCAATTTAATTGGAAAACTTGTTAAAAGTGGTTGACTTACCGGTCCATATTGTTCGAAGTAGCTTTTAACATCCTCGAGTGTTGTGGGCGCTGACAGCCCACCCACAAAGATTTTCTTCGTTCGCGTCACCATCTGTAAATGAGAAAAATTAAAGGGTTAATACAAATGCATATATGGACATAAAATGAAAGCAAAATAAGAAAAAGGCGGATGTTGGATCCTAAGAAATCAATTCCCTTATAAGGTAAATGTTTTATTGTTACTTGAATTCGATAATCGTAGATCCGACTGCCTTAAATCATCTTTAGAAATAAGGAATGCAAATATAATTACCGGTCTATTGTAACCAGAAAACCCCTACCCAGAGTATAGGGTTGACAATATTGAATTTAGTCTCCAAATAGCTGTGGCAAAATGGAAGCAGTTACAGCCTAAATATGAAATCTTCATCTTCCTCATCGTATTCGAATTAAACTTCGTACTCATATTTGTCTTCATAAACGCATCCGTATTTGTATTACTTTTTATGTACTTATAAGACATCGTATTTGTCTGCGTATTCGTATTTACATTCGTATATGTATTCTTCGTATTTGTATTTTTACTCGTCCTTGCGTTCTGGTTCGTAGTCGTGTTCGTCTTGGTAACATGACAGCTTTTCTCCAAGAGGTTATCAATCAGAACAAACCCCCTTTATAGACATAACAAATTGTTCTATTAGTTTTAACTGTCTTCCTAATAGCATTTACGCTTGACTTAAAAGATCTTTAAGCATAAATTTGGGATCGATCAAGAAGTTCCGACCAGGGCCGTAGAGAGGAAATCCGGGCCCGGGGATAATCTCGGTTGTGGGCCTCAACCCCCACCCGTACAATTTATTTTTCTGGTGTAAAATTTAGATGAAAAAAATTATGATAAGAATATAAGCTGCCGTCCAAAGTAAGAAAGTGGTTAGCTACATAGGAATTTTATTGCAATTGCGGCTTTTATGATTCAGATGGCAGTATATTGAACATGTTGTGCCTGAACCGGGCCAAATGGCGGGGATGACAAATCGTGTCACTGCCCGATTGAAAATACGTAGAATTTAAAATTTGGAGCTGCTCCTTTTTTCGAAATATTGATTCTGGACTCCTTCTTCGAGAGTTATTTTACTTCCACAAGAAAAACGGTAAATTGTGCAGTCAATATAGCACTTAAGGTGGAAACAATTTTACACATGATAAAAATGGTACGATGCTCTCCAGAAAACTATTTTAAGCAAAATTTGAGAGAAAATATTTTTAATTAATTTACCTGCTACTACTAGAACTGACACACAAATAGCAAAATGTAGAAATATGCAAGTAGTGGTCGTTATTTGTTGAAACTTTATTCCTACAAGGATTACTTCGCGGTGGTTTCAAAAATGAAATTGGTTTTTTGTAAAGGCTACCAATTTCGAAAAACCCGGGTTTTAGGTCCAGTTACCATTTTTATTTTTATTATGGTTATTTCAAAAATTAAATCGCTTTTTGTACTGTTTACTAATTTCGAAAAATCTAATTTTTTAAAAGGCGGAATGCTCCCGTGTAAAGAGCAAAAACGAATTAAATAATTTTTTTTGAATGGTGTTTTTCATATTTAATCATTAAAAATTGGTTATTTGCCACTCCCACTATTTTTGGATTCTTGGAATCTCAAAAATCATTCAACGAATTACTACGAAGGGTGTTGAAAAAGTTGAAAATCGGTTCATAACAATGCCCACTTCCCATTATACAGTATTTTTCAAAAAATGGAAACTGTGATATTTCAAATATTTACTACTCCGCTTTTTTAAGAAATTGGCAACCGGTACTCGAATGTCGGATTTTTCGAAGTTAGTAACCGGTACAAAAAAACGATTTTATTTTTAAATAATCATAACAAAAGAAATGTGCGTGATCACTCCGATTTTTTCAAAATTTGTAACGGGTCGATTCGTTTTGGCTGTTACAAACAACCATTATGTGAACAAAGTTATAATAACCTTGTGCACAAGTGTGCTCCGTTATAAAAAGTCCTGGAAGATAGTGCTATTGAAAAAAAAATCAAATTTTTGCCAAAACCAATTTTTGCTGTTCAATAGTCGACCACAAGTGCTTTTGGGATCAAGGTAGAGAGATGGTATTTAAGCCTAAGTGGAAGGTTCTATCACTTTTTATTTTGATTGCGCTAAATACTCAAGTTTCGGCAAAATCAGTTTTTGCTGTCCCATAAATGAATATAAGTGACAAACAGATCAAGGTCCACGGATGGTATTTATTTTCAGAGATAATAGTTGAGAGTTCTAGCTTTAATTTAAGCCTAAGTGGAAAAATAGACAACCCAACATTTTCATATTCTATAGGCTTTATGCTTTCAATTGGTATATGTATGTATATGTATGTAATTTGTTCCTTCAACAAATGATTGCAAAATTAAACAAAAAAAATAATAATAATTTTTGAATATTTAATTAAAAATATCCTGGCCAGCATTTTTTCAGCCAACCCACATGCGAATTTACTAACGCATTAAATTTCATACGAAATAGATTTCATCCATCACACAGATGGATGAAGGTCGTGCCCTATTCGGATCTTCTACTATATATATACTTTTTTAATTCATATCCACTTCTCACAGTTTAGTGCCCCTAGAAAAGAAAAGAGGTTGATTTCCAAGAGTTCAACTGAACTAATAAATTGCTCGAAATTAAATAATATTTCACTTGTTTTATGTATATACAATTTTTTAGTACTATATTACATCATTATGACAATCTATAATTTGTATGCAAAACATCTTGAAATATTCTGTGGAGTCTCAGAACGCGGGCTCTTGAGAACTCTGGGGCCGGGAAAAAAACTGAAGAGAATGCATTGTTTAAGATAAGCTTTGTAACAACTCGTGATATTTGCTCATATATCTATGTAAGATTGCTCTAATTTATGATAATAATAATAGCGTCAGTGCCTTGACAGAATACAAAACTGGAATAACATTTCTTTGACAACCTTTTGTCCACTCCCTAATTTGATATAGGTATAATATTGTATAAGATACTCGTACTCGTACAATAAATTCGGTATTTTTAATGTATTTCTTTTTTTAACAGACTTCAAAAAAGGAGATGGTTATCAATACGTCGGAATATTTTTATTTTATTTTTTTTTATATTGGTTACCGCATACCTTTTAACCACGTCAACCGATTTCGATAATTCTATCGGAAGATAGTATCTCCGAGGTGGTCCCACACTAACTTTAATTAGATCCGATCATTGGATCATGAAAAAATTAAGGTACTCCTACAATTTTATATATATGAGAATTGAAGTCGGTTGTGTTTTTTGCTTAAAAATTACATGTTGAAATATTAACTAAGTTTGTCTGTTGAATTGTAGAAGTGTTGAAAGTCAAAATCAGTACCATGATTGAAGATTAAAACTTTGTAAAATTTTAAGGAAGATCTTCTTCATCAACTTACACTCAATGCCTTCAACTACGACTTACAAACACACCCATTATACAAGTATACCAACGAACATTTCAGTGTTATAGAGGGCGTATTTCGGCGAGTAAAGTACGCGTTGTGCTGTGCCAGCAATAAAATTCATGCAATGTCGTAAAATTAAAACACTTCAACATCTAACGAACGAGTAGGCTTCTATGTACCTACTTACTCGCACAAGCATGCACATGCATGTAACAAACGCAGCATCTGCGAGGCTTGCAGTGAAGAGCGCACTGCTATGTTTGGCATGGTGAAACAGCAATAACAACGTCAGCGACACCATTTGCAGTAACATCTCTGCACACAGTCGGCTAAAATACAAAAGGAAACATACAAAGGTCCGCCCTTTTCCACTGTTTCCACTGTACCAAGAGTAGACAGTGTCAAGTGCAAATGTAGCTGCACAACGAAACAGCGAGCCTAGTGAAGGCAAACCACTCCTACATAAATAGATGAACGTGTGTTGCCGAGTTGATTCGAAGCGCCCGTGGTCACAGCTTGCTGGTGATGAGACGTTACTGTTATCTCCTACAACTCCCGCCGCAAGCCCCGCGAATGGGGAAGGCTTGCATCAGTCGTCCAACACATTCGCAAAAGCTGCTGGCTGGAAGCATGGTGGTGACCCACTCCCGCTCCGGCCCACATCAGTACGAAACCTATTGCAAGTATGTAGTAATATTTTGCTTGTTATGTGGTAGTATGGCTTGCTGGCTCTTATTGAAATTGCAGCGTTGTTAAAAAGCGATTTGGTCCAACGGGGACAGCGTACATGAACGCCGTTGCATCAAATAGCAACAATACAAACAACTTCAACCGGACGACAAGCTGGCGTGGCATCATTGTGCAAGTGGCAGCACTATGCTATCATAACTCATTTCCTCCTTGCGTCGGCTCCTTCCTCAAATACGTATGTATGTATGCATGTGTGTAGCTGCTGCTCTGTTGCTCCCACTGGTGGCTGCTGGCTTGGTTTGGCGAATGTTGCTACAGCCATGTTTTAGTAGAAAATGCAACGTAGCAGTTTGGATGCGGGCGAGATATATGTATGTAAGTGTGTGTACACATCCTTTGTTGGGAGCGCTCGCGTCGCGGAGCTAGCATTTGAAGATGAATGAGCACATCGTCTGTTATCTTCTTAATTTCCGAGCGCACAGTCATCTGGACGCGCCGCTTGAGCGCGCGAGAAGGTATTTTCAATAGCTAAACGTACAAGCACTTTATAAAATATAAACGCTTTTGCAGACATAATCTAACATACGGACAAACTTGCTAACTGCATACAAAATCCAAGTCACAGCTATTCTTTTTCGCTGTTCGCTATTGGCTCATTCGTTTTTGGCATTCACTGTTCAGCTTGTTTTTTGGACTTGAGTAATTGCGCAGTCCACTTGGCGTTCCACATTTCGGAGGGGAATCTTAACGCGTGTAATGAAATTTCCGTAGCAAATTTGATAGATTGAAAAGCTACGTAGAATTTTAATTTGTGATTAATTTTTGGTGCATCTTGTCTTTTCGAAATTAAAATCTGCTTTACATGCATACATATATACAATATTATACGCACATACGACTATCTCCTTGCCCTGAAATCCCTGGCTGCATTAAAATCTGCT